TTATCATAAAATCGATAAATATTTCGTATTACTAACACACTTTAAAAAAAGAGAGAGAAAAATTAGCTTGTTATAAGAGTAATTTGTTAAACACTATCGCATAGAATAAGAATTGACACCCATGTCAAATTTCATAAAATGTCGTTTTTAATATGTTTTATAGGGGTAAGCTTAATTAGTTTTTAAAAAATTAAAATAATTATCATTTATTTATGAATTTAGAAACTTTAACAAATAATTATTTATTATATTATATAACATAGAAATGAATATTTAGATCCCATAAAAATACGTTATTTTTTTTTCTGAGTATCACACTGTTTAATAATTAAACTAAAGTAATATTAAAGGTATTAAATGTAAAGTTCAACACGTAATGTCAATATATTCTGTAATACACGGTGAAGAATAAAATAGAAAAGCATATGATATTTATAACACTTAAGGTGACTTTTATAAGTAATCCTTTATTTATGGGATTTAATTTTTTTATTGTCATAAGATTACTAAGTTATTTGATTTTTTTTTAAATTTATATATTTTAAGATTGACCATTAATAATAATACCCAATAATGAATGGGTATTATTTGAAGTGTATTTTAAGATTGTCATAATGACCCACATTTAATATCACACAAAAAAAAAACAAAAAATGCTGATTAAATAAAAATAATCTTTTTTATAAAGAAAATGCACCATTTTTTAAAGTGACAATACACTTTTAAAATATTTTCAATGTAATTAGTTATATGTGATCATAAGAACATTCGTTCCTTTTACCTATACATTTCAAAATTATACGCTGTGGGTTTTAAGCTTATTAATCATTTATCTTCTCTGATATTTCACACAAACGCAAAATTATTATGATTTTAAGAATTTACAATATGAATTATTATATTACATTTAATACATAAAAAGTTAGAAGAAGAATATGTATTATTTTATGTTGTTAAGTGACGATTAATTATTTTTTATCCAAAATAAAAAACTAATATATGTCTAGTCACTTTTTAAACTAATAAAATTAATTTTATCTTAAAAAAAATCTCATGTCAACTTTATTTCACTTGTAAAGATTCATAAGTTGTATCGTAAAATTTACTTAATACAGAATGCGCATCAACGCTGCCACATCAATTGATTCGATAGTTGAAAATTCGCACAGAAAATGAAGATAAGAAAGTCTCAATTAGTTGACATGACAGCAAAAGCACACCACTACTCTCTTTTCTGCAATTCTTTTATCTGCATTTTTTATTCACTGACATGGCTTGCTTCAAAATTACTACTATTAATCATGCATAATTACGTGCAGAATTTTCTGGGTATAAACATTTTATTGACATGTTACATTCTACACCATTACCGTTCATGAATCAAACAGTCAACAAGTTTTAGTTTATATAAAATGATCGGATTATTGAGAGAATCAATACTAAAAATAATTACATCGATTCTAAATGATATTATTATTGTTTGGATTATAGTTAGATCGGTACTAATCAAAAATTCATCCCAAAATTTATAAATACAGATCTAATATTCAGAAAGTTGGTTACTTATTTTTATTACGCATTTATTGTTAGATTATTCAGAAAGTTGGTTACTTACTTTTATTAAGCATTTATTTTGCTAGAACATTAAGATAAACACTGACTTTAGCATAAGAATGATTTCTCAGGGTTTAAACTTAGAACTTAAAGACCTTTTGTAAAAGAAGATTTAACCTTGACCACATAAATCGGACACTAACAAAATAAAGTGCAGAATGTTGGGAATCCAAGTGTAAGTGTAAGTCTCATATTGGATAGAAATGAGAAAGTAGAGCAGTATATAAAAATGAAAGACCCATTAACTCATTGTCTTAAGGTTTTGGGTAAAAAGTGGTGTTGATCCCTTATATAGTTGGCTCAAAGTAGAGCAATATATAAAGATGAAAGACCCATTAACTCATTGTCTCAAGTGGTGTTGATCCCTTATATAGTTGACTAAGATGTTACTAGTTAATAAAAGTAATCCACGTGGAACCTCCTCCTCGACAGACCCAACACAGAAAACAAAGAATCATGATAAAAGTTAGGTACGAGTGAATCTGAGTAGAATCATTTTTCTGGGGTGGCTTTCTCATTGAAGTATATAAAGTTCGTTTTGTCCTAACAAAGATTGAGTAATTTATTTTATCCCGATCTCATAATTAATCTATAGTTTGTGAGTGACAGAAAGTGAAGCTAGTAGCTACAGAAACACTTATTATGGTTCACAAATGTCTACTCAATAGATTAGCACCAGCTTCTTAGCCTAAATCATAATATATGAACATATATTATATGCCACAGGCGTAATCTACAAGATTAAAAGATTAAACAATTCATTGAATTTGTTAATTGCTGTTTGTTAGTTCCCAAGGAGAGGGAAGTTTTTAATTTGTGCTGCTATCATTTTCTTCCTTCATTAGTATGACAGAATATTTTTTCTTCTGTGGATTCCAGCTTATTGCAAACCAGTTGCACTACTTTTGGAATTTCCTCATTAACTCTGCTTTTTAATTTGCTGCTCAATATTATGTTCCCCTGCTATGAAGATTTGCCTATTTAAGCTACTACTTACTGTTCAAGATTACTGTTTTCTTTGCTTTGGGAAAGAAAAGGAGCAGAAAAAAATGGGATAATTTATAGGTTTTTTGATGACATAAAAAGTAACATAATATTATTAATTCTCTTATAAATTAAAAACTCATCTACATAAAATTGATTGAGATCAAAAACACATAATGGTTAAATTCTGTTTAGAGTAATGATATCAAGATACATTTTTACATTCATTTGACAGAGTACAAGGATAAAATAGTCATAAAAGTACAAGGATAAAATAGTCATGAAAGTGTAAACTTTTGTATTTTTTCAAGAAAGGAGAGAGTAAAAAGCAAGTAAAGGTAGTGTCAAATGAAGTAAAAAATTTAAGTGTGTCAAATAATCATTTTTGTTTTGTTTAATAATAATTCAGTTCCTGAGACAGTCTTGTCAGTAGAAAACATGCAAGTACTGATTTTTAACATAACATCATTCATCATAGTATCCACAACCTCTTTAATCAACTCTGGTTGTTTCTTTAGCCAAATCATGGTGCCACACAAAGAGACAAAAATAGTGTCAAAGGAGCTTTTTCCTAAACAGAAACTTATGCTTCAACTAATGCAATTATTAATTGTCATTATTTCTATTTGAAGCTATTCTTTTACTGTATTGTGAGGCTAGGGAAGAGTTTGGGGAAAAAGGTGTTCTAAGTTGTTATATCAGGAAAACACTTAGTTTTTTGAGCTAGGAAGACATTAAGTGCTGAACCATTTATTGGCCATTCAAGTAGAATCTGCCATGTAAGTAGAATCACATTTAGCTTTTTCCAAGGATGACTTGAGAAAAACACATATATTAACCTTTTTCTAACCATTTATTGGCCATCCAAGTAGAATCTTCCATGTAAGAGGGACATAATTAAACTAATTTGAGGTATAAGTCAATCATGATCAGTTTAATGTTAATCTTGCTGTTAGTGTGCTAGCACTGTCTTATTATACATATTAATGTTTATCATCCTTATGTATGCATGTTATCAAAGTTAAAGTTCATAAGGGAAGAGAGAAAAGAATTGTTGGTGGTGGTTCTTTTTCCTGAGCTTGATTAAATTAATGCATAGATTGAGAATATCAACTAGAATTGTTGATTCACAGGTTAAGACAAACGGCACCAAACAAGTAACCAGTTAGGTGAAAGAAGAAGCACATATTGCAATTGAAGATTTCCATGAAAACTGCATTTTATAGATGAACAGACATAGTGGTGTGCAATGAATGTAGTCATTGACTTATGCATAGTGTGCACATCAAATTTAACTTGCTGAGGATGGCATGGATATATGCCAGTTCCACTTTTTGTAATAAATTACATATTTGCTATCACTGTGAGAATCAAAGCTGCAAATATCTGCACCACTTGAGGACATGAAAAGAAAACAGGAAAGCAATATATATATATATATATATATATATATAAACCAAATAAAAGAGCTAGCCAGTGGAATTTATGATGTATGTATCCAAGTTAGAGTCAACTAAAGCTTTTTCTATGAAACCATAGAAAAGATAAACCGCAATCTGCAAGTAATAAATTATAAACGAGATTTTGTAAATAATGGCCTTGTTTTATTCCATTGTTCTTCTTGTTTCTTAATGTTCCTTCTTTTGGCTTAATGTTTAATGCGTATGCATAAACAAAAAAGAGGTGAAGATTCTAGGATGTGTATTTTTTTTTCAAATAACGTGTTTAGTGTGTTGAGGAGCTTATCTATTTGTTTTTGTTTTGGCACTACTGAAAAGAAGCTATAGGGTTTGGACTTATGCAGTTGGTCATGAGTATAAAGAAACAAAAGTTTTCTTCAAGTGGGGTTTGAGCAACTAGGAGTAGTGGGAAGCAAGAAAGTAAGAGAGAGGCAAATGTAGTAAAAGGGTTACATGCTTTTTCTTGTCACTTCTAATTTGAGATCCAGGTTGTTACTGAGCTTAAATGTTATGAGTCTTAAGCTAGAAAGTAGAGGAAAATACCTAGAAGCTGTGGTTCCCTTTCCAATAGCAATTCTCAGTGATTTTTATTTCTGGAATTTCTTTTAGTCTTTGATAATTTGAGGACAGAAAAAGTGAAGGAAAAGAAAAAGACTTTAGTTTGAGGTTAATGGGTACCCATCAATCAATCAAGCAGGAATTGATAAACAAATATGATCTTTACAAGCACGGTTATTCTTTCTTGTTTTCAGTAATATTCTTCAGCTGCTGTTGCTGTTATCTTTATTTTCTGGCCACAGCCCACAAGCATAGATTCTCTCTATGTGCGAGTCCTCTGTCCTTGCTGTGTGCCTTAGAAATGGATGAATGTGCTTTACACTGCTTGGATTCTCTTTGCCCATAAAAGGTTTTCTGCTTTTGTCTGTCTATGCCTCTCCTTTTCATTGATGCTTTCTTAGGCGGTTCTACGCACACTCTATTGCTGGTGTGGTGTGAACACTACACGTACACAAGGAAACACACATACACATTTTATTCCAACTCCACCTCACCCTTCTGGGTATAAAGAGGCATCACCATTCTGCATTCTTCATTGCATAACCTCTTCATACTCCCTTCACACACTTCAACAGGTGGGAGTGCTGACAACAGTTTCTGACAACAGTTTCTCACAGCAAGATGAGCTATGGACATTATCATATGGGCTCTGGTTTGTTCTTTTGCTCCTCTTGATTTTCCTTATCCTTCTTTACACCTTGCATTTTGCTCCCTTAGCTCTTTCTCTCTAAAAATGCTTGTATTTTGGAAGTCATTTTTATTAGTCATGCATCTGTTTTTGTTTTTGTTCTAGCTTCTTGTATTGTTTGACTGTAATCAATGATAGTTTGCTTGATCCATTTGAAGATCATCGTTACTTTTGTGCCGTATTTTGAAATCTATCAACAATCTTCAAAACTTTATATGCCATTTTCAGGTAGTAGAACTGGTCGGAGAAGTTTGGAGTTTGGGAAGACACATGTGGTGAGGCCAAAAGGAAAACACCAAGCCACTATAGTTTGGCTGCATGGTCTTGGTGACAATGGTTTAAGGTATGGATGTCATATCTTTAACTTCTGTTATTGTTATATGGTTCATTCACCTACAAGGCATGTTGTGTACTTTTTCTAGTGTTGATCCTTCCAAAGCTTGTCCACTCTTCCTCCTCCATATTATCTCTTCATTGTTATTTTTTCTTCACCCAAACCTACTTTCTGTTTTACCATTATGATATGCTTCTTCAGAGTTCTGAGCTAAGTGTGGACAGTACTTTTGACAACACTCTTTATATATAACTAAGGGATCCAAACTTGTGTTTTTAGGTGTTGTATGCTTTCAGTGTTGTGTTTCTTTCAGTTGAGATTCTAAATAGAATAAATTCTGTTGGAAAAAGTTATATTTAAAGTTTGATTTGGAAGAGTATATACTAGATTCTCAATTAGGGGACCACAAGATCATTTGTTTTCTCTACTGATATGAGTAACTTGACAAGACTTTATTTAGACATAAGAATATTTATATGGCAGAAAAACTAACATATTACAGAATTTTTCTTTCAACTGTATTTATTGTGTTGTGACTGAAAATACCATTCAGATTTTTATCTTATCTTACAAATCTGTGTATTCCTAATTGACGTTTGCATTCTTCTCTGATTCTATTCAATGAGACAAGCATAATAAAATCTTGAGCTTGGATTTTTTGCAGCTCATATCAGCTGCTGGAATCTCTTCCACTTCCAAATGTAAGAAATGAACTTTCCTAGTTTGCTTTTGTACGCACGTATTCTCACTTTATCCCTATAATATTCTGATGAATCTATTCTCTTGTACAAAATATATGATGTTGGTTATGATCTGATATGCTACAGATAAAATGGATTTGCCCAACTGCTCCTATCCGCCCTGTAACAATACTTGGTGGTTTTTCCTGCACTGCATGTACTATTAAATAAACCCCTCTTGTGCTTTTATTCATTCTGATTTAATCAGCACCGTGTTACAGTAAGCTAACTCCTATTGTTAAACATTGATCAGGGTTTGACATGGGAGAACTTTCAGAAGACGGTCCAGATGATTGGGAGAGTTTAGATGCCTCAGCAGCACACATTGCCAACTTGTTATTAACAGAGCCAGCTGATGGTAATTTATATAAGCTGAATAATAATTAGTCTCTGTTTGAATAAATTTTAGTCGTGAAATAAAAAAAAGGAAAATGAATTGAGTTCCTCCTATAAATTATATCAGTTTATAACTTCTCCAAACACTGAGATGTGCCACTTAATTTTAACTTGAAAGCAGACACTAAAGTCTTTTGGGCCTTTTTATTTTCTTTTTCTGTAAGATGCTAACTAAGAAGTTTATGCAAACAACAGATTAATCATTTCCCAAGCATTTTTCAATATATGAGAATAGATTTTTCTTCATATGTAACATCATTCAAGTGAAAGGAAAAATAAATAAAGAAAATTAACAATTTGGGACTTGTAATTGATATTTGGTAGATTCATTCATTCTAACAAGAAATGGATTTTTTTTTGTCACAGTGAAAGTTGGAATTGGAGGCTTCAGTATGGGTGCTGCAGTAGCTCAATACTCTGCAACTTGTTTTGCCATGGGAAGGTATGGAAATGGCATCCCGTATCCAGTGAACCTAAGAGCAGTTGTTGGACTAAGTGGCTGGCTTCCAGGATCAATGTATGATTTCACTGACATTAAATCATGTGTATATATATGTTGGTCAATGTAGCCACAAGCTAAAGGTTGGAAACTTCTGTTTATGTAGGAGCTTAAGGAACAAAATCGAAGTGTCACATGAAGCTAGAAGGAGAGCTGCTTCATTACCTCTTTTGTTGGGCCATGGAATCTGTACGTATGCATACATCTCAGCATGTGCTTATGTAACAGTTTGCAGCATTGAATTTGATTTTGCAAAACTGATTTTGAAGTGAAGTGACTTATGTTTGGTTATTGCTATTATTCAGAAAACAATGAATAGTAAATTTCAGCACAGAAGATTTGATCCAACGCAATAACTACTTGAAGTTATTGCCCCTCAATCAATTTTAGATTCATAATAATTTCTCAATGTGAAACTAAACATGTCAATATTTAACTAAAATCAAGCTAATTGATAACCTGCACTTAAATATTGAAACCATATTTCTTTGCTTATAAACTTACCACTATCTTGTTTCATTGGACTAAAAGCTTGTATTGATAAATAGTTGCTGTGAAATTTTTTTCCTTCTGCACGCAAAATTGTTTTGTAATCCAAGTAGAGCTTGTGCATGATTAACTATTCAAATGATGACCTCTTTAGCACGCGTAAAGCAAAGCTATTTACTGATGTAGGTGATGATGTAGTCCTCTACAAATACGGAGAGAAATCAGCTCAATCCTTAAGTTCAGCAGGCTTTCGATACATTACATTCAAATCCTATGATGGGTAAGAACTCTTGAGCAGAAATAACTCAATTTCGAATGAATCACACTTCAATTAAACTAATCATTAAACTTTTTGGGTGCAGGCTTGGTCACTATACTGTTCCAAGGGAGATGGATGAGGTCTCCAATTGGCTTAACTCAAGGCTGGGGCTTGGGGGATCAACATGAATAACATAACATAACGAGTGGCTATATCACCAAATGGTTTTCCAGTATATATAATATGGTATTGGTATAGGAGGAATAGTCTTCTGCGTTCCTTTAGTTATGTTGCTGAGAAATAAAGATCTGAATGTGTTTGCCAAGCAGTAATCTCCCTTTCACATTATCATAGTACCTAGAGAAAGGGTCAGTTGTACTGTTGGAAAGATTTTGTTTCAATTATTGTAATATAGGGTACTTAGTTGTGTTATTTATATATTTCAGAGTGTTTTTTTCTTCTTTTTGGTGGGGTGGGGGTTAGTGTAAAATGCTTGCATGGACTTTTGGAGCTATAAAATCCTGTAAACTACTTAGTATGAGTTTGTTTTCAAGTAACCAACATCTTCCAAATCACGTTGAGATCAATTCACAAGTCACGTATCAAAAGGTGTTTGAGAATGGCGAAAGTTAAATCAAACACTCAATTTTTATTTTGTAACAGCCTCCAAATCCAGACTCAGTCCTGACTCTTATTAACTTCATATGATCTTAAATTAAAGCAAGGAACAGAGGAAAAAGAAAAAAAAAATTCTTACAAACAGCAATGTTGAAACTTCTTATTTGAATATAATCTAGAAAAAAGAAGTTCAAAAAGTTCACATCATGAAGACGTTCTAGTAAACTACTACATCTGTTAACACTTCACTACCTTGGGCGTGTCTTTACTTCTTGGAAGTAATATCTTTAAGCTTTTCCTTCAATTCACCAGTCTACAAAGGAAAAAAAATATTATTGAACAGTCCGTTACAAAATAATACTAGCCACAAGTAGAAAAAAGAAAAGCATTTAAACGGGAACAAACCTGGTGCATGTTGAGAATAATATCCGATCCACCAATAAACTCTCCCTTGATGAAAATTTGAGGAAATGTCGGCCAGGTACTGCACGGAAAGAACAAGGAGAAGACTAGGCTGTAATACAATTTTTTTTCTTTATTTATTAATGACAGTTCATCAGGTAAGTCCTAGCCCATTGGAGATATTGGAAACTGAAATTCAATTGCCAAAGGCCCATGAAGACTTTTATCCCACAACAATGACAAACTATCATCAATCAAAGTTATAAGTAAACTATGTACAAACTACAATTGTAGATGATTGATGTTTTTTCCCAGTCATATATGCAATATGTTCGGAAGCAGAGAGTAATAGGATCAACACGCATGAAGTTACCTAAAGGCTTTTACAGCATTTTTTAGCTCAACATCCTCCAAAATGTTTCTAGCGCTTATAGGAACATCTGCAGGAGCAAAATAATGATATTAGTAATTTACAGAATAGTTATCAAGTAATGTGAATTCACAAGTAACAAACTACTTTTACAACTTCACTGGGGAGAAAGAAAAGTACAAAAGTATCAGCAAGCAGAAAATAAAAGCATATAGATCATTTTAATTAAATTCCAGAGAAGCAGATATACAGATAGAGCCAAAATATGATCTTATGGGTTAGCTCCTCATTTAATAAAGGTGGCCTTGAAGAATTAACAGGAAGAAGACTTCGTTTATAGGTCGAATTTCTTGAGGCTAAAGTCGCATATTTTCAAGGCTTTTCAAATATTAACATAGAAACTGCCCATCCACACCAAGAACCAGCCCCTGTCTGTACTGTATCATGCTCCTTTTTCATATATAACGTTTTGTATTTCGAGTGTCATATAATACAACTAAACATTATAAATCCGGTTATCATACTGAAAGAAACTATTTTTTAACATGGGGAAATACTTCCTCCATAAAGAGACAACTACATAACATACAACTTCGTGAGCAGAACATATAGTTTCAGTACTTACCATAATGTTTCAAAACTCTAACAGCAAGTGAGCTAAAACCACACTGTGGCAAATCAGGCACACCTTTCATGTAAACCATAACAGGGTTATCCTTGACATCCTGCACATATTAATCGGTGAACAAAATTTCAAGCTACATATCACTCAACATCGTTAAAAAAATTTGGGCAAAAGATTGATTGATATACCAGTACCTGCTCAATAAAATTTGCCAAAGAAATGCCAGAACCCTCAAACTTATTAGCTGCCTTGAAGTCATCATGCGTGTCAGAATCATTTGATACAGTAGTTGAGTATCTTGTGCAATAAAACAACCCATTTAACTGTCACCATGTTAAAGGAGGCAAGTTACAGAAAGAAAATTACAACATGGAGTTTGACAATTTCAATAACTAACCAACAATTGTTGGCATTGATTAGAAGAGTAACGCGATGCTATATATTTCTTTTCATACATTATGCAATGTTATATATACGGTACCATCTCTAAAATTTTGGGTAACTCAAAAGCCGAGAATGAAGCAGTCATACATAATCATAAAGGCAACCTAAGCAAGTTTATAAACCAGGTTATATAGAGAAGGAAAAAGGACTAAAATTGATTAAAAATAAACAAAATGAATAAAAAGCAAAAGATCTAGAAAACAAGCGATGCCCATTAGATAAGGCTGCGTAAAAAATGCAACTTTTATATGATTCGCACAAAATAGATGCGAAAAAGAACGATTAATCATGAATAAGAGGTAAGGGCTGAAGATCTTACGGGCCTGCCGAAAGAACGATTAGCGAGCCCTTTGAAGAACATGTTTGACAAGGATGTCGCCATTCGAATGAACCCACGAACAAAAACCTGAATGCTCCCGAACTCTGCACTTGTCTTTTGCCGTGTAGTTTAAAATTTTAAAAATTAAAAATTAAAAATATATAAAGTAGTGCTCTGAAAGGTCAAAAATGCCCCTTGGTATATTAGTTATTCCAAAACCCAAACCCAAAACCCTTTTTCTTCCTCAGGAATTCAGTCCGCAGCCTCTTCTGAAGACGCCCCATATCAGAAGTATTCTCCTTTGATCGGTTTCCCTTTACATATTTTCGTTCATTTTGCTTAGGTTAGGTTTTAAGATTCATCCTTATCCTTTACTTTTCTCTTCTTTCTTTTGTAACTATTAATTTTCCGTCAAATTTTTCTGCCTCATTTTCGTGCTGTTCTCCTCAGAGTTAAACCCCTTTGATTACTAATATGTGGTGTGCAAAAATTAGTTTTTTTTTCTTTTCAAAATGCTGCTTCGAAATGTGGAACTTGTGAAGTTTTGTGATTTATTGGATTAGCTTCACCACTTTGCTCTCGTGTTGGAATTTCGGTTATTTGTGTTTGTTATGCAACGATTGAGCGGCCCAGTTTATGTAATGGTTTTTTATGACTGCAAAGTTGTTATCTTTACGTAGTGCTGACTGGCTTTACGTCTGATTTAGGTGCTGTTGTTCATTCACTGTTTGCTGCCTCTACATAGTTGTCTACTTGTAAGAAGCTCAGAGAAATGGTGAAGGGCGATTCAAAGAAACATGTTCTCACTGCTTTCACTCCTAATGG